CTTCAGTTCCACGCAAACATAAATAAAATAAAAGCAACACAAAATGCAAACAGTTGATTATTGAAAGAAAACAAACTGAACTGTCTGTTTCCCATGCTGTCTCTTTTCTTTGCTTTTAAAAGCAACATCGCCGTGATGACACTTCTACCATGATGATGTTTTACTTTACATGGTCACACTAAAACAAACAAGAGTTTAATCTGCATTTACTGGTGTCACAATGTTATTTGGTAACAACATACTTTATGAAGTGAATTAATTAATTGTGTTTAGGGGAATACAGGTAAGAAAGTGTAGGGGTTTCTTACATAGTGTTCAAATATACCTACAATACCTGAAAACCAGCAGGACCAGTGACTGGAATTTGGAGTTCCAACTTGCAAATTACAAGTTTTTGGGAGTACTATTCAAAAGGTTTCTATAAAATCATATATATATATATTGGGTTTGGTTTTGAGTGAAATGTCTCTTCAAAACTGTTGATTTGATTGCCATGAAATTTGGTGCACACATTCATGTGTCCCTCAACTGTAATAACTTTGGGGATACTCTGACTTTTTATGTGGTGCCGGTTACATCAGCCTTCACTGTACTTTATGTTTACTGTTTTTAGCAAATGTTAGCACACTAACACTCTAAACTAAGAACAGTAGCAAGTTAGCATGCTGATGTTAGTATTTAGAGCACTCCTGTGCCTACACATAACCTCACAGAGGTGCTAGCGTGGCCGTAGACTCTTGGCCACTTATAAATCATTTTACTGACAAACTTCTAACTTAGCTCAGATTACCAGATGCAATATGGAGAGAACCAACAGCTTAAAATTGTGAACAGGAAGTCATCAGGTATTGAGCACGCTGTGACATTATATATAGTCAAATTACTACACCTGAATAATTAGGCTACTACAGTGACTCTCCAGGAAGCAATATCGTGAGATAGGGTATTGCACTAAAAACACAAAAAAAGAAGTGATGAAGTGAAGTCTGCATATTATAAAATTAGAGAAATTTCATGAATACAGATATAATCTGCATCCCTATTGTGATCTTGTTATGATACCAACATGATGGGTTTATATCTTATAACTATATAATTGTTTCAGGGTAGCAATCAAGAATTATGATTTTAAATACAGAAACTTGCCTTTCCTGAAGGTTTTGCACTACAGGTGGTTAAGGTAAGTCATGGAGACAACTTTACACAGAGTTTCTTTTCCATTCTTTTTTCAGTTGTGAAGGTGGAGCTTCTTAACTGGATATACAGCATGACACCTTCTGTGATAACCATACAGTACCGTCAAATATTGCAAAATATAAGCCATATAAATACAAAACCTAGAGTTTCTTGACAAGAGGCTGTATTGATAAAGTTGTTGAACCAGGGTGGACACTAATTGAATTTTCTTTCCCTTTGAATCTGCAGGTATTTAAAACACATCATCAGTGGCAAAATTTCATTTGACCACCGTTCTTAACTGCCATTATGGATATAAACTATTGGCTTGTATCCATAATGACAGGGCATTTACAGGCGTGCACACCACACTGTGCAGACTTGAATATGTGTTATGCATTACAATGTAGTGTAAAATAGAAATTACACTATAATATATAATATGATGAAAAACTATAATATGACCAAAATCTGTAGAACACAAAAACTTCATAAGAAAAATTACTCAATACATCTTCAGGTTAGATTTTGCTACAAAAAAATCACATGTATACTTCCTGTTTCGAAACCTTTCGCACAACTTCACAGCCATAAGGAAAGAGGAGAGGAGTCGCTCAGCAGTCATCAGCAGAGAGAAGAACAAGGCAGAAAGAGGCAAAACATAACTTTTTATATTATCTAATTCTTCCCTGAATATTATAAACAAAATTACCAGTTCTGTTAATGATTGCAGTAAACTTTATTCCAATAGCAACTTTCTGCATAAGATGCCAAGTGTTTCACAGTAAAAGAAAATGTCAGAGGAGCCTGAGTAAAGTGGGAGCCACATTTATTCATGCAGCTATGGAATAACTAAACATGCACTAGCCTATATATATAAAATGAGTGAAATGTTCATTATTAAACTGTACCAACATATTTGGTGTATTTATAGTCTTAATTGAGCATGAAGTAATGTTTGGCATTTGTCTACCTCTGTGGGCAGCCAGTAGGAACTGCAGCACACATCCTGATATAACTACTACTTACTATTATTATTATTATTATTATTATTATTATTATTATTATTATTATTATTATTATTATTTAAATGTTTAAGTAACTGATCATTTTAAGCCTGATGATGATGATGACCTTCAGGCTGCTCACCTGATTCCCCTCATGGACTGCTCTCCCATTAGATCTGACCCAGAAGCCCACAGTGATGATTCCTCCTCTGACAGAGGGACAGCAGACCACACTGACCTTCCTGAATCCTTTTTGTTGCATAAAGTAGGAAGAAAGAGCAAAGACAAGTGACGAGAGGAAGAGTCGGTTTGGAGCAGATACACTCACAGAGATCAGTGTGGAGAAAAAAGAGCAGGAGAACAAAGTAAAAAGAGGTCAAACGCAACATTTACTTACTTTACTTATTTTATAAATAGCTTTTTGAATTATAGGAAGTGATTGAAGTGATTGTTATTTCCCATAAATGTGCACTGCTGTTGCTGTTAAGGAGGAAATGAGGACTGTGTTAAGAGAACCGGCGCCTAAAGATGGGAGGATTACAAATATTTATTTTGTCAGAGATCCATGATTCAAGGGGCTCAGACCTGGACAGGGGCCCTGGAATATTGTAGAGATTACAGCTATTTATTATAGCAGAGCTTTTGTTGTAACTATCATTTAAATAAAACCTTTCCAGAGCAGGTTTACCAAGATATTAGCCACACCAGGGGTGAAGTGGTAATAGGATTTTATTAAGCAACAATGGAATAACTGAATGTGCAACATCCTGTTTTAAGACCTGTGATTTCAAATGTAGAGTCCTTGGTTTCATCAGCTGAACATCTTGCATTGACTTTGCACTTGAAATGTAAACATTGCAGAGGAAGAGACTGAATGTCTTAATCATTAAATCATGATGTTTGTTCTGATCTGGGTGACTTAGATTTTCTCAGTGAGAGGCAGCAATGCAGACACAGGTGTGCATTTTTATTATTATAAGCTTGTTATGATGCCAACATTTAAGATAATCATCAACAAACATATCCATAACTTTATTTTGCTTTAGTTGCATCAATTCAGACAATACTGTCAAAATGGATTCTGTGTAAATTGCAATGGTTTGAAAGTGTCAGTCACATTGTGTAGTGAAAGAGGGTATTGCACTGCTGGAGAATCAATAGCGTCAAGTGAACCGAAAGCTGCAGGTGAGTTTGATATCTGGTAATTAGTGAGTTCATGTGCAGTTGTGGATGTTCAGAACTCTGGAAAAAACTTTGAAGGGAAGCTGTTGCAGCTTTTTATCCCAATTTAGAAACCATTTAAAGACAGCAACATCTTCCAAATTAAACAGTCAAGACAGACCAAAATGCCTGTATTACTAATGCTATTAGCTCTGTGCTGTTTCTGTCACCAGGTTAGCTGGTAGCAATAGAGGTGGAACATAAACGACAGAAAGCTGTTGATCACTTTCTTAACTAAACCTAAATATATATGGTTGGAAGAGTCTAGTGGAGCTTAATTTAATGTGGTTGATGGTCACTTTGCCAACATGAAGTTCTGTGCTTGAATACAAATTTGAGGTGTACTTGAGTGTTTCATTACACTTCTACTCTACTAATTTTAAAGAGCTATTGAAAAGTGCAAAGGTATAATGTGTGACAAAACATCATAATGAAGTACTGCAGAGATGCCCTGGCCTACAAATGTTTTTATACAGAAAACATGTTTATGTGGTACAGACACCAACAAATGTCACATCATCATGATTTGAATAATTCTTTCCCTACTTCAGACTTAATGATTTTTGTGCTGTAAACTCAATGATATGACTGTACTGTGACGAAACAGAACAATGCTGTTGTTAATATTGACATTTTCGTCTATTTTCATAAAAATGTGCATTTCATGGTTTGTAAATGGCTCAACACGCCATCTATGCTTAAAATCAGAGGGTACTTTCAGAGGGCAATATTGTACTTTGTACTCCACTACAAGTAATTTTACAGTAATCTGTCAATTTTTTCCCCCCACGATGAGTCGAAGTCAAAAGTGAAAAATGCTCATCACAATTTTCCAGAGTCCAAGCAACAGTACAAAGCCAAAAGACTCATTTACTTAGTGACATAGAAAGCAGCAAATCCTTAGATTAAAGATGGAATTGGGGGATTGATCCACACTCCAAGTTCTAAGATCTATCTGTTTCAACCCTGCTAGATATGTTTTTATCCCGCACCCATCCCTGTGGACTTTAAGATGTGCATGGCCTTTCCCTTTTTTTTTTAAAACCAGCATGTCTTGAAAAATGACGGACGATTAATCGATTATCAAAATAGCTGTCAGTAATCGACAAATCATTGCAGCCCTCGTGTTTGGCTGTTCAAGGTCAAATTCCACTGCTGCTCTGTTGGTCCCAGATCATCCCTGTTCACAACTGAGAGATTTCCATTTGTTTACTGTTAGGCAGTGAAAAGCTTCACTGGGGCACCTGGGATATAGGTGCTTTGTAGATTTGTCTCCTGATCTCTTCAAGATTTTTTGTGTGTCGTATTCTGTTGAAGCGATTTGAAGAAGTTATTTTCTCAAGGTTTCTCAAGATAACAAAATAAAATCACATATTTGCAATACCCTTTTCAAGAAGTGTTGCATTGCTTTGCAGAGATGGAGGGGGATTTAAAATAAAATACCAAACAAAACCATTTTCTCTTAATTATTCAATGTTTAAAGGGGCAAATTCAATATGATACACACACTGTGATATTATGATATTCTAAGTGTATAAAGGAGAGGATAAGAGAAATATTGCTCATTGGTGTCTGAGGAAACTTCCTCAAACCTTGTTGTTGCATAAAGAGGGAAGACATAGAAAAGTGAGGAGAGGAAGGGTCAGTTCACAGCAGAAACACTGCCGAGAGAAGAGACGAGTCAGAAAGAGGTAAAATAAAACATTTAATTTCTGTTAAAAATATTGGAATGTAAATATACTATTATTACTAATATTTTCACTGTAAAAATTGTTCTTTAGAGAAAGAGAAACTGATCGTCTCAAGCATCCAACGAATCAGGATGTTTGTTCTCATCTGGGCAACTCTGCTTCTCTCTGTTATAAGCAGCAGTTCTTACACAGGTATGCATATTTATTATAATGATGTTGTGATGCATTGATGATATGAGTATATAGATAGCAATAGTTTTCCATGATAAATTTCCTTGTATTTAACTGAGTTTTTTGTCTACCAAAGATATTTTGGATAAAGAAATGTTGAAATTCTCTCGTCGTCTGCTCAGCGCTGCTGAGTCCTGACAACATAACAGTTAACATTAGTTATATAAATCAAAAGCAGTCGATGTACTATCTGTCAGTTGTAGCCTTTCTTAATTATTGAATATGGTGTAATGTCAAGATCTTAATTTCCTCTCTTCCTGTGTTTCTCTTGCTGTTTGCTTTAACAGGTGGATCAGTGAAGGAAACATGTGACTATGGGTTCTGCATTACTCTTAGTGAAAGAGAAATAACAGCAGAGGCTGGACTCTGTGCTGTGATACCGTGTTCTTTCACTCCTGGTTATGGCTTTACAGTCTCCAGTGTAGTTTGGTTCAAATGTGAACCATCGAAACCAAGATGTGTTGAATCAGACATAATATTTCGCAGTAACAAGAACAGAAGAAATATTCAGTCAGGGTTTGAAGGACGAGTGTCACTGTTGGATCCTGATGTGAGTCTGAACAACTGCAGCATCATCATCAATGACATCACTGAGTCAGACTCTGGATCATATCAGCTCAGAGTTAATGGTATCAGATATAGGACGACAGATGGATTTACATTCTCTCCAAGAGCAACTGTCTCTGTTAAAGGTATGAAGAGCTACAACAAATATATACAGTAAAGATGTTCACTGTTGTTTCCTATGAACTGCTCCAATATATTTAGTGTTTATAGTCTTAATGGAACATTAAGTAATGTTTGCCATTTGTCGACCTCTGCAGTCAGCCAATACGAACTGCAGCAGGTCCTGATATGACTCCTACTCATTGCCCCTTTAAGATATTTGATTATTTTAGCCCACATTTAAGTGAATGCTGACCTTCAGGCTGCTCAACTCTCAACTGTCCCTTCAGATCTGACCCAGAAGCCCACAGTGATGATTCCTCTTCTGACAGAGGGACAACACACCACACTGACCTGCACTGCTCCTGGTCTCTGCTCTGGATCTCGTCCTAAAATCACCTGGATGTGGAGAGGAACAGGAGAGAACCACTCTCACATCACAGGAAACATCACTGAGTTCAAGACTGAGAATCTGACTGCTGTCACACAGAGACACAGCTCAACTTTGACCTTTAACCCTTCAGCTGAACACCACGGCACCAGTGTCACCTGTAAGGTCAGCTTCACAAACAACATCACTACAGAGGAGACAGTGACTCTGAATGTGACCTGTGAGTAAAACATAATGTGCTGTATTTTCTCACCCTTTATTGTTTATCTAATGTTTGCTAAAGATAAACAACTGAACAACAGTCTGATGGAAAATGTGTTGAACAATGACGTGTAAACACATCTGTACAACTGTTCTAAGAAAAAAGAGTGTTTTCTTCTTTCTTCTAATAAGGTTACTGAAAGTTTACAGCAACATTAAAAATCCTACCAAACTCATTCTTAACGTCCCTGTACCCGTGTGGGACCATCTCAATATGCATTTTTAATTACATTTTTTGACTTGTTGTGATGTTTGTTACAGCCAATATGTGTAAAGTTTGAACGATTTTAGATGCTGGCGCCCTCCAGTGGTAGTATTAATTTAAAAAGAAAAAACAATTTCAGACAATGTATGAATGAAAAAACATTTACACGCAATAGATTTACATAATTTTTTATGTACATACCATAGTTATGTATTATATATGCCACACTGCTGTATATTGTCATTTTTCGTCATTATATTAATTATATATTAATATATATATATAATTAAACGTATAAAAAAAAAACTTCCCTCTCACCCTCTTGGGGTGGTATCTGTGTCATCCTCAAGCTCGGGTCCTCTACCAGAGGCCTGGGAGTTTGAGGGTTCTGCGCAGTATCTTAGCTGTTCCTAGGACTGCGCTCTTCTGGACTGAGGCTTCTGATGTTGTTCCTGGGATCTGTTGGAGCCACTCCCCCAGTTTGGGAGTCACTGCCCCGAGAGCTCCCACTACCACGGGGATCACGCTCGCCTTGACCTTCCACATCTGCTCCAGCTGTTCTTTCAACCCTTGGTACTTTTCAACCTTTTCGTGTTCTTTCTTTCTGATGTTGGCGTCTGCTGGTATGGCCACATCTATCACCACCGCTTTCTTCTGCTCCTTGTCTACCACCACTATGTCCGGTTGGTTGGCCAGGACCTGTTTGTCAGTCTGGAAGCTGAAGTCCCACAGCACCTTGGCCCTGTTGTTCTCAGCCACCCTTCTGTGGTGCGGCCCATTGGGATTTGGGTACTTCTATTCCATACTGGGTACAGATGCTCCTGTACACTATTCCAGCCACTTGGTTGTGTCTCTCCATGTACGCTGAACCGGCTAGCATCTTACACCCTGCTACTATGTGCTGGACTGTCTCAGGGGCATCTTTGCATAGTCTGCACCTTGGGTCAGATCTACTCTTGTAGATCTTGGCCTCTATGGCTCTTGTACCTAGGGCCTGTTCTTGTGCTGCCATGATCAGTGCCTCTGTGCTGTCTCTGAGTCCAGCCTTCTCACCATTGGTAGGCTTCAACAGCCACTTCTCAATTTGGCGGTGGTACATGCCATGGGGCTGCCCAGGTTGTCGCCCCTCCTCCGCACCTACAGGGAATACAAACGACTGTAAAGCCTCAGAAGATCTGCTAGTGGATGTGAATATATATATATATATATATATATATATATATATATATATATTAAACATACCTACATCAGTATTAGGGATAGCACATACACTATGCCTGCCTTTTCGTATTTCAGTAGGAATTAAAAGTCAATATAATTGCACTACTGGACTAATTATATTTGACATTCCCACAATTTATGCATATGGTCTATCAATATTGTGAGGTATTGTAATGTATATAATGACTCTAAATGTCATTAATTTCATTTATTTAATCTGACAAAAATCTTTTATCTTTTTCCTACCGCTATATCCACAGGGATTTTGAAGATCTCAAAAAACTCTGGATGTAAGGTTCAGTCAGAAGTCCTGACCTGTGTGTGTATCAGTGAGGGGTTTCCTTTACCCACCATCAGATGGCCGCTGTTGAAGAACCATTCTGAGTACTCTGTTGTTACAACTGTGTCAGACCACACAGTCAACAGCAGTGTTACTGTTCCTGTAAAAGACCACATCTACACCACTGTCAGATGTGTCAGCAGCAATGAAAATGAGGAAGTGCAACAGAATATCAACATAATCGTGGCTTCAGAGAGACAAGAAGGTGAACACATACATAACAGTCAACACCAATCACTCTTATCAAGAATGTATCGATAACATAATCTTTGTTCATTTCATGTGTTCAGCAATCTGACATCAAGGCAGAGACACAAATGCAAAAATAAAGATTCTCTCTCTTGTCAAATATCTACTAAATTTCTCTGAAGGTCAGAGGGTGGCACTCAGCAAAGTAACAAAAAGCAACCGAATAGTAGTCTATATTCAGCTACTTTCCTCCACACTTTCTCCTTAAAAAACAAAAAAAAAAAAAATATGATCAATTGATCATGTGGATGAGATGCTTTTTCAATCGTTTTTTAGTGTACTGCTGCACTGTTCCTGAAAGTAAACTTTGATGATAGATAAGAACTGTTTTCAGGGTGTTTTCTTAACTTAAGTGACATCCAAACTTTAATTGGAGAAATGTATTTTTCTAATTTCCTCTGCCTCAATTTAACTTTATGTTGCTTGAGGTTAATGTGCAGTCTGCATTAATGTGAAACTCAAATAAATGCCCCTTCAGCAGTTCTTGCAAAATCCCTTCACCTTTGTGGAAAGCTTTTATAGTGGCAGTTTACAGAAAAAAATTGGGTTTAATTTATAGCAGCTTAACAAAATACAAAAAAAGAAAAAGTATAAATATATAATAAAATCAATGTGTTGAGCTCATTCTGTGAAAATGTACATTATGATGAAAACTCCAATTAAATGATGTGATCTCTTAGATGTAATTTTGCTGTAACCCTTTCTTTCCCCACTTTTGCAGATCAGCATGGACCAAGTGCAGTGCTTCCATGGGTGGTCGCTGCTGTATCTCTCATTGTGAATGTCATCCTGATTATATGTGTGCTGATCCTTTGGTATGTTACTACATCACTTTATTTACACCATTTTATGATTTGAAGCTCCTGTAAATGCACTGGAGACTTTTTAGACATCATGTCTCTCTCCTCTCTCCAAAGGAACTCAAGAAAAAAGGTGAAATCAAACCAAGAGGACAGAACTTACATGTCACTGAAGAAAACCGACCAATCACCAGAGTATGATGTTATCGGCCAACCTCTGAACTAACAAGAGTCCACTTCCACCAAGTATAGAAGAAGATGGTACTTCTGTACTCTGACTGATCTGTTAAATCATATTTGTACATGTGTAAAATTTTATGAACATTGCATTTCTTAGGGTTATTATTTATTTCATTATCTTTTATTGACTCAGTGTAAGTAACATTTGCCATCACCTGTTTTCACACCACACACCTTCACACGTGAATTGCATTTGTAATTGCTTGTTTATCTCTAACAATGTGTCTGGAATACGTTCTGTAAAATCTACCTAAAAGGGAGGAATTTATCTCTGTAGGATTGCATATGTAATTCTTTTGACAATAAAAGCCATTTTAACTTGTAGATTTGATGTTTCTTCATTAGTTGTATAGATTTGAGGCCCTATGGCTACAAAGAACTATGAATATCTGGCCAATAAAATATTGAACCTAGCCCTTATTCATTCCAGCACACCATTTTATTTCCACAATTGTATCAGTTTTCATTCTATATTAGTGATAGGTATTTTATTATTTTAATTTGTTTCAATTGAATTGTCTAAATGTATTTGCATCAGTGCAGTTAATTTGCAATAGTATTTATCCTTACTGATGGGGGTCTTTTAATTCTTTAATTTAATTGTCTGATTTTATTTTGCCTCATTGCCTCCTGGAATGTTTTAAATCCTGGTTTCAACCATGTAAAGCACTTTGTAACTTTGCTTTGAAAAGTTGTTAGTAATAATGTCACATTTGTTCCCACTCCATTATACACTGGGTTTATATTCTAAGATTAATGAATATCTGTCATTGTGTGGATGCTACAGCTGTAGCCATTCATGAACTTAAATGACATTATCTGTGTGACTAAATGAGACCTCAGCATACGTATGATTTCTGTCTCAGCTGCTCTGGGTATACTTGCATCAATCCTGCTAAAATACAGTCTTTTCCCACCAAATATTTAACTCACAAACATCTATTCAAACAATAAGAGAACAGAGAAGGAAGATGTTAGCTAGTTGGGCTTAACCATTCATGGTGCTAGACTGAATCATAATGACTTTGCTGATCTATTGACTTTTTATAGTGCCATCATGAGGCTGACCTTTTTGAGTTTTTAAATGCATATCCCTCAGGATTAAATGTAATAACTTTAAGGATCCTCTGACTTTTTATGTGGCACCATCATCAGGTCAAAATTTTAATATTTCTAAAACTTTGGTTTATAACCAAATACCTCCACTGACTACTAATATCAGCCTCAACTGTACTGCATGTTAGCGTTGTCATTGTGAGCATGCTGACATTAGTATTTAGCTTCAAGCACTGAAGTGACATACAACCTCACAGAGCCACAAAAACAGAAGTGATTTTCAGAGACTGCATGTTGAAAATGTAAAATAGAGAAATAGAATGACTGCAGATACAATCTGAAGCTATTAATGTACTTCTTTATTTATGTTTATAATTACTGAACTCATGTTCATTACATCTGAAATTTCCGGGTAGAGAGAATTTTTTTACATTCTTGAAGATTTTTGCACTACAGGTAGTTATGGTAAGTAATGGGCGACAAAAATACTATGATAGCTAGTGAACACGCCTTCACATATTGTAAAATAGAGTTATTTAATTCCTAACAACAAACTGTAAGTCACAAAAAACTGCATGACAAAAAATGTTAAGTTCATGTCCAAGTTGGACTGCTACAAGATTTATCAAATCACCATCTAGTGTACTTCCCGTTTCTTTCTATGACTTACTTGAAAAAATGTGACACCGACCACAAACAGACAAGAAGCAGAAAAGGAGAAGAAAGAGAAAAAAAATGAGTCACTCAGCAGAGATCACTGTGAAGAGAAAAGAGCAGAACAAGGCAAAGAGAGGTAAAAACACAACTTTTACCCTTTTTTATAAATATCTTTTTGAGTGAATCATTCTTCCCTGAGTAATATCATAAAACATGTGTACCAGTGCTGTTGTTGAGCTGTGGTAAAGGCAATTGTTATATATAATACAATATTTGAATATGTGTTTTATTCTATATTTAAACTTTTATTGTACATATTTAAGTTTCATTCCATATATTCAAAACTCCTATTATATATATATATATATATATATACTAATTTATTTTTGTAGGGATTTAAAAGTAACTGCACCAGAGCTAACAGACAATTTGCATCTATTGTCCCTTGGTGGGTAGACAGAAAACAACCGCAGTGCTTTCGATGGTGAGACTGCTGTCTAACATATTGGTGTGTTCAATTTGGTTGATATCCAGTGGCTGCCGTAGCATATGATTTACATCATTTTCATACTCAACAACAAACTATTCAGTGACGCCTGGTATTCTATATGGAGGTTTCTGCATTTGTTGTGTTTCTTAAATCAATGATTCACCCATCTGTTTATAGAAAGAGGTGGAGAGGTGTCGAATGTGTCGACCATGAGTATTTCATCGCAAATTTATTAAAATCAGCTGTGGAGCTGTTTCTGAACTTTATTAATTGAACTTTATGTTTGTTTTTTATTCTCCGTGTGTAAAGAGTGTGTGGAGAAAGAGACTGACGGTCTCAATTATCAAACCAAGATGTTTGTTCTAGTCTGGGCGACTCTGCTGTTCGCTGTGACAGGCAGCAATGCTGACAAAGGTATGAGTCTCTGCCAGCATTATATTCTTTATTCTTTTACACAGCATTATGAATGATAAATTGTGTCAAATAAATTGTGATACTAAATGTTTCCTTAGATGTTTTCAGAAATGCTTTAAAAATACAAATATTTACACGGAACAAAGAACACATCTGGAAAGAGCCAATGGTATACAGGTTTATGGATCTGTATCCAGATCTGTATATGTTATCATATTATATCATATTACATCTTATAAAAAATCAAATCAAATCTGTCAGAGATCCAGTTTGTAATTTTGTGCATACGGACAGTATCTGTCGATAATGTACCACCACCTTGGATCTGTACGTATTGTTTATTCATTTATTCCAGTGTTAGTTTTTCCACCTTGAATTCAGCAGAACATTAATAATAATAATAATAATAATAATAATAATAATAATAATAATCACTTGGAAATTCTGGGATTAATTAAATGAAACATATTTGTACCAAAGATAGAAGGTTTAGATATATTCAGTACGATACACGTGGCACTTTTTAGGAGTAATCTCTTTCAGTGATTAGATATTTGGGTGTATGTCAAAATCTAAACATCTTCTAAAGTATTCCTGTGTTTGTTTCCCTATTTTTTGTTTGCCTTGTCAACAGGTGCACCAGTGGAAGGAAAAACACACTGTTTATATGAGTTCTGTATCACTCTTAATGAAGCAGAAATATCAACAGAGGCTGGACTCTGTGCTGTGATACCGTGTTCTTTCACTCCTGGTCCTGGCTTTTCACCCAAAAATATAGTTTGGTACAAATGTGAACCATCGAAACAAAAATGTGTTGAATCAGACATTATATTCCACACAAAAAAGAACAAAAACGTTCAGTCGGGGTTCAAAGGACGAGTGTCACTGTTGGATCCTGATGTGAGTCTGAACAACTGCAGCTTCATCATCAATGACATCACTGAGTCAGACTCTGGATCATATCAGCTCAGAGTTAATGGTAACTCGTCTACGAAGACAGATGATGGATTTACATTCCCTCCGAGAGCAACTGTCTCTGTTAAAGGTGAAGAGCTACAACAAATATATACAGTTAAGATGTGCCTATGAACCGCATCAATATATTTAGTGTTTATAGTCTTAATGGAACATTAAGTGCCATTTGTCGACCTCTGCAGGCAGCCCTTGGAACCTGCAGCAGTTCCTGATATAACTTATTGTCTCATTGAAATATTTGATTATTTTAGCCCACATTTAAGTGAATGCTGACCTTCAGGCTGCTCAACTGATTCCACTCATGGACTGCTCTCCCATTAGATCTGACCCAGAAGCCCACAGTGATGAGTCCCCCTCTGACAGAGGGTCAGCAGACCACACTGACCTGCACTGCTCCTGGTCTCTGCTCTGGATCTCTCCCTAAAATCACCTGGATGTGGAGAGGAACAGGAGAGAACGACTCTCACATCACAGCAAACATCACTGAGTTCAAGACTGAAAAACTGACTGCTGTCACACAGAGACACAGCTCAACTTTGACCTTTAACCTTTCAGCTGAACACCACAGCACCAAGGTCACCTGTAAGGTCAGCTTCACAAACAACATCACTACAGAGGAGACAGTGACTCTGAATGTGACCTGTGAGTAAAACATAATGTGCTGTATTCTCACCCTTTACCTTTTATCTAAAATGTTTGCAGAGAGATGGGCTCTCGTGTCATTTCTGATGGTTTTCTGAACTGTGTTGAATTCTACAACATCAGCCGTGTTCTTACAGGAAAGTTTGGAATTAAATAATAATTTTCTCTTATAGATGTGAAGGAAGTTAAAATCACTGGCAACACAAGTGCGAAGGAGGGTGAGACTTTGAATCTGACCTGCAGTGTTGAAAGTTTCCCTCCAGCTCTCATCACATGGACTAAATTGTCTGACAAAAACATGCAAAATGGAACAAAAACCTGCCTGCAGGAAGAAAGTGGAATGGGCACTTTTACCATCCATAAAGTGACAACAAAAGATTCTGGACAGTACATCTGTACGGCAAAACATCTGAACAACACCCTGAAGGAAACAGTTGATGTAGCTGTGATATGTAAGTACACCTGTACAAGACAGCAAAATTCCTGCTCGTTTCTTCTTTCTTTTAATAATGTAACTAAAACTATGAGTTTAGGGCAGAGAACAACATTTAAAAGCCTGCCAACCTCATCCTGGATAACTTCCCTGTACCTTGAAATATATGTGGGACCATCTCATTGCGCATTTTTAGTTTCATTCAGAAGAAATGTACTGTCATTGCTTTAGATTCTTTTTGGGAATAATGGAGATCCTGTAGAGACACAGAAAAGGCTTTCAGGTGGGTTTCAGCCTCACTGGAGCCACATGTTTAGATTAATAAAAACGTCTGATGTCCTTTAAAGCCAATGTCTATAGATTTTAGACAGTGGCTCCCTCCAGTGGTAGTATTTTTTAAACAAAACAAAAAAACATCAGGCAATGCATGAAACACTTTTGCACATATTATAAATTGTGTTTATATTATATCTATATACCTTTTATTAATATACTATACAATTCATAAGATGCATTTTTCTTATATCAGTAGGACTCTTAAAATGTCAGTATAATACTTCAAGAAGTTTTCTGGAGATGCACTAGTAGACTAATATTTGCATGCATGTATATATTTGACAGGTATTTTCACGATTTAGGTACATGGTCAATTGTGAGATTTTAATAATAATTATATAAAGATTTTGGCTTTTAAATATTGTTATATTTATTTATTTTAATTTAATTTGAGAAACATATTTTGTTACTATATCTTACATTAACTTCAAATATTTTATTCAAATTTATTTCACAGATATGAAGAAACCTGTAATCACTGGGAATACAAATGTTGAGGAGGGACATGCTCTGAATCTGACCTGCAGCGTTGAAAGTTTTCCTCTGTCTAATATCACATGGTCTAATCTTGGTTCCAACAAAAACCTGCACAGTGAACCTAATACTGACCGGCAGAACAATATTGGATCAGCCCCACTTGTCATCCATAAAGTAACGACAAAAGATTCTGGACAGTACATCTGTACAGCACAACACCTAAACAACACCCTGAAGGAAACTGTTGATGTAACAGTGATATGTAAGTACACCTGTTCTGAGACAGGAAATTCATTTTTGTTTTTTATTCTTTCTTCTAATGCCTTATTATAATCCTGCCTAACTCATTCGGAATAACTTCCCTGTACCTTCATATATATGTAGGGCCATTTCAATGTGCATTTATGTAATTTTTTGACTGCAGAAGAAATCAGTATAGTTGTTGCTTTAGTTTCTAATGGGAATAATGGAGATCTTCAAAAGGCCCTGCAGAGACACTGAGAAGGCTTTCAGGTGGTTTTCAGCCTCACTGGGGCCTCATGTTTATAATAATAGAAACTTGTGATGTCTGTTACAGCCACTGTCTGTAGATTTTAAACAATTTTAGACAGTGGCTCCCTCAAGTGTTAGTATTTAAAAAAATAAAATAAAATCAGGCAATGCTTGAAACACTATTGCACATGCGGAGACTTTGTGTTATAACTTATGTTTATATTATATCTATATACCTATAATTAATGTACTATATACTTCATAAGCTGCCTTTTTTTCATTTTCATTTATGTCTCATATTAATTTTCAAATATTTATTCAAATGTACTTCACAGATATGAAGAAACCTGTAATCACTGGGAATACAACTGTTGAGTGGGGACAAACTCTGAATCTGACCTGCAGTGTTGAAAGTTTTCCTCTGTCTAATATCACATGGTCTATTGGTGGTTCCAACACAAACCTGCACAGTGAACCTACTACTGACCTGCAGAACAACATTGGATCAGCCACACTTGTCATCCATAATGTGACAGCAGATCATTCTGGACAGTACATCTGTACAACAGAACATCTGAACAACATGCTGAATGAAACAGTTGATGTAGCAGTGATATGTAAGTAAAACTGTACAATATCTTACTAATAAGGTAACTGAAACTATGAGTTTATGGTTTATGTATTGTATTATTTAGACTCATTTATACAGTATTAGGGATATCACATGCACTATGGCTGCACTGTTTTAATTTCGAAAGTCACTCTAATACCTATTTATATATTTGACAGGTATTTCCACAATTTAGCTCTATGGTCAATTATTATTGTGAGGTTTTATAATGTATATTAACAATTTAGCTTTTGAAATCATTACTTTTTTAATTTAATTTGATGAAAATCTTTCAACACAATATCTTATATTAACTTTAAATATTTAACTTATGTTTACTTCACAGATATGAAGAAACCTATAATCACTGGGAATACAACTGTTGAGTGGGGACAAACTCTGAATTTGACCTGCAGTGTTGAAAGTTTTCCTCCCTCTCGTATCACATGGTCTAATCTTGGTTCCAACACAAACCTGCTCAGTGAACCTAATACTGACCTTCAGAACAACACTGAATCAGCCACACTTGTCATCCGTAATGTGACGGCAGATCATTCTGGACAGTACATCTGTACAGCACAACACCTGAATAACACCCTGAATGAAACAGTTGATGTAACTGTGACCTGTGAGTAGTAACACTACTAATAATAGTACTAATCTTCTTGAAAATTATGTTCTTGCGATGTTGTGATTCTACTTGTGTGTTTACAGTGTTCCCAAAGATCTTAAAACACTCTGGATGTAAGGTTCAATCAGAGGTCCTGACCTGTATGTGTATCAGTGAGGGGTTGCCTTTACCCACCATCAGATGGCCGTTGTTGAAGAACCACACTGAGTACTCTTTCATTACCACTGTGTCAAGCTACACAGTCAACAGCACCGTCAGCCTAAGTGTAAAAGACCATAGCAACACTGTTGTTGAGTGTGTCAGCAGCAATGAAATTGGGGAAGCAAAAGAAAACCTCACCGTTCAAACAGATGCTTCCGAACAAGAGGGTAAAATTTCTTAGCTAAAACCCTTCTGCTACTCTAGACCACTGCTTTACCATTTTTTAGTATCTCTTTCACTGTAAACTTTGTATTTGGACAACAAACAACAAGTTATTGCATGTATATTTTTTGTTGAGAACAACATGAACATTTTTTCTTTTATTCCTCTTGATTGCAGATCAATCCACAGGAGTATTAAAAATGGTTTCACGGCTGGAAGTCGTCATTGCCTTTTTTATTGGGGTACTTCTTTCAGCAGTCATTTGCTGTTTGGTAAAAAAATGCCACAGGTACACCGTTCATTAATTAGTAATTTATTCCTGGTTTTGTTTGAAGACAACCCTTATACACACATTTTAACCTGTTACTATTTGAATACATTATTTTGCAGAAAAAAAATGAATTTGGATGAAACTCTGGAGATGGTGACCAATCAAGAGGATCTACTGGTATTCATATCTATTCAACTAATATTGTATATTATATTAATATAATAATTGTTTAACTCAGATTTGTCCCAGTTTTAAATGTAGTATTTTAGATGTGTGAATGTGGCTTTCATTGTTTAATATTTCAGTCAGACACAATTCATTTATGATTTAACCATAAATAGAAAATTGTCATATAGTTTTTGCAGAAGACCATGAATGAAGCAGCCCATCCAGTCAACTCAAGCAAGCACAACTCATTGCATTAACACATGTAATAACAATCTTAAAAGCAGATACACATTGTGATGGATTATGGCATCTCAAACAAAGCTGTGTTTTTTTATAGAAATGAATGTACATTAGAACATTAAACAAAACATGTAAAAAGATTATGGCTTGATAAATATGGTTGGCAGTAATGTAAATATGTAAATTACAGATTTCATGTATATTGTACAGAAGTTTGGTTCTTGTAGCAGCTGCTGAATGTGTCATATAATTTATGTTGTACCTGTCAGATCGATGTTGGTCAAGCAGTGGAAGATGATCAGACCTACTACCAAGAGGCAGCTGAAGATGGAGAAGGAGTTGGTGAACCAAAAGATGTGCAGTACGCCACCATTGATTTCTCAGTGTTGAAAAGGAGGAGTCCCAGGGAGGCAGCAAACGCACAAGAGACCACAGAGACAGAGTATGCTGAAATTAAGAAAGCAGTAAAAGAAGAAAGAAAAGAGGAAGAAAGAGGTGGAGAGGAAGAAGAAAATGAAGTGTTGGATGGCAAAGAGGAGGATGTGATGATTGGGGAGGATGAGGAGACAAAACAACATGCCCCAGAAGAGGATGAAGGGGAGGACACAGCAGTTTACTCCAGTGTAAAGGATATAATGGGTGAGATTTGAGGACTATGTTGCCTTGTGGAGTTTCTTGAGGATAAATCAGCCCAAAACCCTCCCCACATTTCTCTGACTCAAGCTAAAATGGAACTGTTACGTACACCCTTTGTAGTGATGGTGTCTCTTTTGCAGTGTGGCTCTAATGATGGCAAAGATTTTTCTGTTGGTTGGTTTGTCAGATAATTTTGTTTAGACAGAAATATCTTAACTATTGGATGAATTCCTATTAACAACATGTACAGACATTCATGGGGAACATAAATGTATCCCAATGACTTTGTTCATAGTGCAACTGCAACTTGCTTTTTAAAGGTGGTTGCACCACCATGAGTTTGACTTGTGGGTTTGATTGAAATGTCTGAACAACTATTGGTTGTATTGCCCTGAAATCTGGTGCAGACATTTTTGTCCATATCAGTTTAAATTGTATTAACTTTTGTAATTCCTAAACTTTTTATCTAGTTCCATCATTAGCTCAAACGTTCTCTTTTGAGATAATGCAGCATCCCCATCTGCTTCAGCTTTATTTTGTCTTTAATGTCAATTTGATTTGCAAATGCTAACATGCTAAACTAAGACAGTAAACAGAATAAACATTATACATAATCAGCATTTTAGCATTGTCATTGTGAGCACGTGAGTATGCTGACATTAGCATTTAGCTCAAAGTATGACTGCAGTTTCAGAGGCTCATACTCCTGTTTCATTTCCATTTAGTGTGTCAGTTTATCTCAGTACAATAGTCACATGGTTATAGTAAAAAAAGGTCCAGTTATTTTATTTGTCATATGAACAACAATCATATTGATGAAGTCTTTTCAATTAAATTCTTTGTTCTCAGGCTCGCGTCAACAATGGTCCTACAATATATATAAAGCCTGCAAGTACATGAGAAAGGGGGGAAAAGAGAATCATAGACACAGGACAAAATTGGACAAAGTAGGTAATAGTTAGATCCCATCCTTAACTAATGACAGAGATAGGGACAAAATCTACAGCCCAAAATGCATTTCAAAGACCAATCATAGTTAATAAGAGGCTTTAAGAGAACTGAGTTAGACAAATAACGAGTTACAGTGTCTGTGGTACATAAGAGCTTCAGCTGAACTTTGGGAAGACATTTTCACAGAATGAGGACTGTCAGTTTTGTCCCTCATCTCTTACAGTGGAATTGCTTTCTGTTTTCTTCGGGGTCTGTATGTATAGCAGGAACAATTGCAGCGACCACTCTTTATGTACATTAAACTTGTGTAAATGTGTGCATACATTCTTATATAAAAAAATTACTACTAATTCTAACTGGTGAAATGTTTGGCTCAATTAGTCTCTAAAGGCCTGTTAAGGTTCTTGTTTAATAGATCATAGATTACTTCCCTTTTTAATTTTTCAGAAATAAATCTCTGGTTCTTTGTAACAGAAATAACACTTATTTATGCTTGGGAGGAAACCATGGAGTCCATTGCAACAAAGCTTTTCTTACATCTGGTACAGTCTGCAATGTTTGCAGGTTCTGTAGTGAGTATTCAGTATGCAGGCATATGAGGAGGAAGTTATTAGAGAGGAAACAGTGAGGAACTGAACTGTTTAAATTATCACCATGGCACCTTTGTGAGAACACAACTTAATATTTTGCACAATAAATCATCATACCACAAAAAACTTTGTTGCAAATACGAGAGGCTGTATGTAGTTGAAATTAAGAACTAGGATTAAAATACTTGAATCTGCACGTATCTTTGACCATGACCAATATTATTTCACTGGCACTGCAGATATTAACCTGTAATATGAACCATTCACTGATGCATGTGCCACTCTGCACATAAGGTATTATGCATTGCAAAGATGGATAGTTGGTAGATTTGCTTTGACAGGTTCATCATTGAAGGGAGCATGTAAAAATGGGTTCTGTATCACTGTTAATGAAGCAGACATAACAGCAGAGGCTGGACTCTGTGCTGTGATACTGTGTTCTTTCACTACTGGTCCTGGCTTTACAGTCCAAAATATAATTTGGTACAAATGTGAACCACTCAGCAAAAAATGTGTTGAATCAGATATGATATTCCACACAAACAAGACCAACAGAAAAGTTCAGTCGGGGTTCAAAGGACGAGTGTCACTGTTGGATCCTGATGTGAGTCTGAACAACTGCAGCTTCATCATCAATGACATCACTGAGTCAGACTCTGGATCATATCAGCTCAGAGTTAATGGTGACTCGTCTACGAAGAAAGATGATGGATTTACATTCTCTCCAAAAGCAACTGTCTCTGTTAAAGGTATGAAGAGCTACAACAGATATACACAGTGAAGATTCATTGTTGTGCTTATGAAGTTTTATTTAAATAGTTTTTTTTTTTTGTATTTGTTGACCTCTGTGGGCAGCCAGTAGGAACTGCAGCAGGTCCTGATATAAATCATATCTTCATCATCATCATCATTATTAGGAGTAGTAGTAGTAGTAGTAGTAGTAGTAGTAGTAGTAGTGTTTGAAGCCTAATTTATGTGAATGATGACCTTCAGGCTGCTCACCTGATTCCACTCATGGACTGCTCTGCCATTAGATCTGACCCAGAAGCCCACAGTGATGATTCCTCCTCTGACAGAGGGACAGCAGACCACACTGATCTGCACTGCTCCTGGTCTCTGCTCTGGATCTCATCCTAAAATCACCGGGATGTGGAGAGGAACAGGAGAGAACGACTCTCACATCACAGCAAACATCACTGAGTTCAGGACTAAGAAATGTACTACTGTCACACAGAGACAACGGTCAACTTTGACCTTTAACCCTTCAGCTAAACACCATGGCACCAAAGTCACCTGTAAGGTCAGCTTCGCAAACAGCATCACTACAGAGGAGACAGTGACTCTGAATGTGACCTGTGAGTAAAACATAATGTACTGTATTCTCACCCTTTACCTTTTATCTAAAATGTTTGCAGAGAGATGGGCTCTCGTGTCATTTCTGATGGTTTTCTGAACTGTGTTGAATTCTACAACATCAGCCGTGTTCTTACAGGAAAGTTTGGAATTAAATAATCATTTTGTCTCATAGATGTGAAGGAAGTTAAAATCACTGGCAACAGAAGTGTGAAGGAGGGTGGTACTTATAATCTAACCTGCAGTGTTGAAAGTTTCCTCCAGCTCTCATCACATGGACTTAATTGTCTGACAAAAACACGCAAAATGGAGCAGAAACCAACCTGCAGGAAGAAAGTGCAATGGGCACTTTTTCTATCTCTAACGTATCAGCAGAAGATTCTGGACAGTACATCTGTACAGCAAAACATCTGAACAGCACCCTGAAGGAAACAGTTGATGTAGCTGTGTTATGTAAGTACACCTGTACAATTGTTCTAAGACAGCAAAATTCCTGTTCTTTCTTCTTTTGCACATATAATGACTTTGTATTATAAATTGTGTTTATATTATATCTATATACCTCCTATTAATATACTATATATATTATGAGCTGCCTTTTCTTATATCAGTAGGACTCTTAAAATGTCAGTATAATACTTCAAGAAGTCTTCTGGAGATGCACTAGTAGAGTAATATTTGCATGCATGTATATATTTGACAGGTATTTTCACGATTTAGGTACATGGTCAATTAATAATGTAAGATTTTAATAATAATTACATAAAGATTTTGGCTTTTAAATACTGCTTTATTTATTTATTTTTATTAAATTTGTGACTTATTAACTTCAAATATTTTATTCAAATGTACTTCACAGATATGAAGAAACCTGTAATCACTGGGAATACAACTGTTGAGGAGGGACATGCTCTGAATCTGACCTGCAGTGTTGAAAGTTTTCCTCTGTCTAATATCACATGGTCTATTGGTGGTTCCAACACAAACCTGCACAGTGAACCTAATACTGAGCTGCAGAACAACACTGGATCAGCCACACTTGTCACCCATAAAGTGACAGCAGAACATTCCGGACAGTAC